TTTTTTCCCTGAAAGGGTTCTCAGCCCTTGGAATGGGCTGCCCAGGGAGGGGGTTGAGGCCCCATCCCTGGAGGTGTTCAAAAGCCGGGTTGATGTGGTGCTGGGAGGGATGGTTTAGTGATGATGCTCCTTGTTTGTTGTGGGGGTGTCTATTTTTGTCAGTTGGGTTGACGGTTGGACAAGATGATCTTGAAGGTCCCTTCCAACCTAGAAGATTCTGTGATTCTTTGAACAAGTCGGCTTTTTTCCCCCCTTTTTCCCCACAGCAAGTCGTGGGTTTTTTCCCCCCTTTTTCCCCACAGCAAGTCATCACCAAGGAGTACGAGCTGTTCGACTTTCGGCGCACGGAGGTTCCTCCTTTGCTTCTCATCCTGGACCGCTCGGACGATGCCATCACCCCGCTCCTCAACCAGGTGAATCCCCTCCGAGGGGCTGTGGTAGGAATTGGAGCTCTGGGCACACACACAGAGCCCTGAGAGGGGGGTGGCAGTGAGTTGGAGCTCACACCCCCAGCCACCTCCATTCCTGGAGGACACATTCCCATTTGGAATGTCTTGGCCGTGTCCTCTTCAAGGGTTTATCCGTGGGGGCTGTTTGATGGTTATTGAGTGACCTCGCTGGTTTCTCCCTCTGGGTTATCGATGGGGGACAATATTTTGTTTGATTTGTTTTTTTCTTGGCCGTGCTGCAGAATCTCTTTGTCCCCTTTGGTTTGGGGTCGAGCTGGTGATGGGGAAAGGGCTGGAGCTGCTCCAGCGCTGGTGCTGTGGGAGCTACTGGTGATACTGGTAGGACTGGAGAGATGTGATGGGCGGCTGGTGATGGGGAAAGGGCTGGAGCTGCAGCTCCTCCAATACTGATGCTGTGGGAGCTACTGGTGATACTGGTAGGACTGGAGAGATGTGATGGGCAGAAACCTCCTTCTCTGCTAAGCTGGTGATGGGGAAAGGGCTGGAGCTGCTCCAGCGCTGGTGCTGTGGGAGCTACTGGTGATACTGGTAGGACTGGAGAGATGTGATGGGCAGAAACCTCCTTCTCTGCTACAGGGGGATTTTCTATCCAGGAGAGAGATTCAGCTGAATGTAAAGGGAGTGTGGGGCACGTTGGTGCTCCGAGCAGCTTTCACTTTTCTCTCTAGATTAATATTAGATCAATATTATCAACTCCCTGATGTGCAGAAACACATGCAAGAAGCAAAGAAGCATGTGGGAAACTCCATGGTTTCCTGTGGAACCTCTGGAACCAAAAATTACACATCTTGGGGGCAAACAGAAGGGAAATATTAATCCCCATCGCTCGTTGTCGAGTCCTTTGCGCTCTCCTACAGCCAGCGTTCCCCTGGAAAGGGGACATTTCTCCTTTGTGTTTCTCCTTTGCTCTGCCACGTCTGGTTATAACAGAAATAGTGTTTCTTATCCTAACATTCTGGAAAAAAAAATGAGAAATACACACTTTGGATCCTCTGTGTGTTCCCAGAGGCACCTAAACTGATGTCTGTTGAGTTCAGCCTGAAATCCATTAATTTTTCAGGGCTGTTTTTTACCTCATGGGTAAGGTGAGGTAAACCTTTGCCTTTCTCTCTCTCCCCCTCCTCGTTAGTGGACGTACCAGGCCATGGTTCATGAGCTCCTGGGGATCAACAACAACCGCATCGACCTCTCCCGGGTACCAGGGATAAGCAAGGACCTTCGGGAGGTGGTCCTGTCTGCTGAGAACGACGAGTTCTACGCCAACGTAGGTGTCTCGGGGAGGAGGGGGGTGGATCTTCATGAAGAAGATGGATTTGTGTGTGTGTGCAGTATTGTGTGCAGGTCTGGAGCCCTCACTGCAGATGGAGACCAGTCACAAGTGGTGTTCCTCAAGGGTCTGTGCTGGGGCCAACACTGTTTAACATTTTTATCAGTGATCTAGACAGGGAGATTAAAGGCACCATCAGCAAGTTTGCGGACGATCCCAAGCTGTGTGGTGTTGTGGATACACCAGAGGGACGGGATGGCATCCAAAAGGACCTGGCCAAGCTGGAGAGGTGGGCCCAGGTGAACCTCATGAGGTTCAACAAGGGCAAGTTCTTCACTGGGAGGGTGGTGGAGCACTGGGACAGGTTGCCCAGGGAGGTGGTTGAGGCCCCTTCCCTGGAGATATTCAAGGAGAGGCTCGACGAGGCCCTGGGCAACCTGGTCTAGTTGGGGGTGTCCCTGCTGACTGCGGGGGGGGTGGGACTAGATGGCCTTTGGAGGTCCCTTCTGGCCTGGGCAACTCTATGATTCTATGATTCTATGATTTGGGGGTGCGGTTCCATTCTTGGTTTCACCAAGTCAAAGGGACTTGGAGCACTGGGGTGGTGAAAATCAGTGTGTAACACAAACAGCCCCTAAAATGAAATAATGTGCTTATTTTAGAGTTTTCTTCCAACCTTGCACCAATGGCAGAGCTTCTTGCTCAAGCCTGACCTCAGGGACACGATGGGCCGTGGCTCTTTTGGGCACAAAGTGCCATCTTCTTCCAGTGGCATCAAGGCTCACGTTAGAAGAGCTTTTTCTCAGATCCCTGTCTTGTTCCCTGCAGAACATGTACCTGAACTTCGCCGAGATCGGCAGCAACATCAAGAATCTGATGGAGGATTTCCAGAGGAGGAAGCCCAAGGAGCAGCAGAAGCTGGAATCCATCGCTGATATGAAGGTAGGGACAATCTATGCGTAACCCACTGGGCTTTTCAAACCCCATCCACTGCAATAGTGCAGATCTCTGCTGTCTGTAGAGTAGGAACCTGATGAAGTTCAACCAGGACAAGTGTCAGGTCCTGCCCCTGGGAAGGAAGAACCCCCCAAACCAGGACAGGTTGGGGGTGACCTTGAAGTCCTGGGGGACAACAGGATGCCCAGGAGCCAGCAATGGGCCCTGGTGGCCAAGGAGGCCAATGGCATCCTGGGGGGCATCAGGAAGAGCGTGGAGAACCTCAAGGGAGGTCATCCTGCCCCTCTGCTCTGCCCTGGGGAGGCCCCAGCTGGAGCACTGGGACCAGTCCTGGGCTCCCCAGTTCCAGAAGGACAGGGAAGTGCTGGGGAGGGTCCAGCAAAGGGCTACGAGGATGCTGAGGGGCCTGGAGCATCTCTCTTGGGAGGAAAGGCTGAGGGACTTGGGGCTTTGGAGTCTGGAGAAGAGAAGGCTGAGGGGGGATCTGATCAAGGCCTGGAAATCCTTCCAGGGTGGGGGTCAGGAGGATGGGGCCAGGCTTTTTCCAGTGGTGCCCAGGGAGAGGATAAGAGGGAACGGGCACAAACTGGAACAAAACTGGACACAGCACTCGAGGTGGGGCCTCACCAGTGCCCAGTCCAGGGGGACAATCACCTCTCAGGCCCTACTCCCCACGCTGTTCCTGACACAGGCCAGGATGGTGGTGGCTTTCTTGGCCACCTGGGCACACTGCTGGCTCATCTTCAGCCGACTGTCCACCAACACAACCCCATGGATGGCAATGAGTTTATACAATTTATGGCAGGGGGTTGGAGGTTTTCCTTTCCCCCCTCTTGGTTTTAACTTCAAAGAGCTGGTTGCTTTGGTTTCCCCCTCGTAGGCGTTCGTGGAGAATTACCCCCAGTTCAAGAAGATGTCGGGGACGGTGTCCAAGCACGTGACGGTGGTGGGAGAGCTCTCCAGACTGGTTGGAGAGAGGAACCTACTGGAAGTGTCTGAAGTGGAACAGGAGCTGGCCTGCCAAAACGACCATTCCAGTGCCCTCCAGGTACCACTGGGGCTCAAATCCTCACCTCTTGAACCTGGATGGTTCGATTTGGGGAGTCGGTGGGAGTTGTGGAGGCAGATCTTTCCCTCAGGGTTGGGATGTTCCTACGTTAGATTGGCTCTTCTCCTCCCCCTCCAGTTCAGCTGGGGATGAATCATAGTTAATAACTGGCTGGAGAAGCATCTCTGCAGATTCTGCCTTTACATTTCACGATGCCACGTTTCCTTCGTTATCTGCAGGCAGTTGGCTCCTGGCAAACTGCCTTTGCAGGCACCAGGGGGGGGAAAAAAAACCCTGCCCCCTCCCCGTGCAGAAACTGCTTGAATTTGCTGGGGAGGAGAAGAAATAGAACCCCTGAAATTGTCCAAACCAGACCATTCCTTGAGGTGCTGCCTTTTAGCTTTTCATTTTAAATAAAAAAAAAACAGCGGAAAAGCTGCTTAGAGAAAAGATTTTTTTGGCAAAAAGGACTGAAAAGGGCCAAACAGAGGGGTCTGTCACTGAGCATAGTGTGAAGGTTTGACCCCGTGCTGCTGTGGGGGGGTTCCATGCCCTGCCCCAGTATCTGACAGGGCATCGATAGCGATGAATTTGGAGAAAATAGGGGTATTGTTGAGTGTGACTCTATTATAGCAGAGTTCAACCAGCGACTCGCTATTCAAACACAATTCCTTAATTTTTTTATAGCCAAAGCAGCAGTCACTCCATTTAACAGACTCCTTTCCACGACGCCGGAGAAGCATTTTGACTAGAAAATAAGGAGAAGCATCTTCAACAGATTTAAAATCCCTGTTTTCTTTTGCTTCTCATTATTCCCTGCTCCAAGTGGGTGGCCAGGGGATAATATTAGACTCTTCAAGCACTGTAATCCGTTGCTGGATCCCGAGCTGATGGGAATCAGTTGAAATCATTGGGGCTGTAGATTTTTAATGTATAGAAATTATTTGATAGCTTTATATTTGGTGAAATTTAGATGAGTGAGTATCGAAGTGGGCAGGGAGCCGTAAAATGCCTTGGCTGGAAACAGCCTCTGAGGTTCTCCTGCTGGATCGTTGTTTCTAGATCAAGCTTTTTTTTTGCAGTTTAAAAGCCAAATATTTGCAATTTCAGAGTCAGATATTGAGAACGTTGAGCCCGTGCCGTGCTGGGGTCTGTTATTTTTGATATTAACGCGGCGCAGAGCATTAGTGTTGAAATTTGGGTGCTTGGCGTTGGGAGACCCGTTTGGAAAACACAATTTCCTTCTTTTTCTGAAGTTATCTCCGTTTGGGTGAAGAAAGGGATGATGTGAAGTTCTGGTGATGCCCAGCTCTGCGGGTAAGAGAGCTGGAAAGTGGGCAGAGACACAGGCAGGGTGGTTACTCGGTGCTAATTAAGGTCTTAGCCTGCTCTAACGAGGGATTCCTGCAGGTTTTCAAGCAGGAAAGAAAAAAAAAGCTTCCCTGAAGGGCTCTGTTGTATTTCCAACAACTGGGAGACGGGAAGCAGCCAGGAAACAGAGGGAAAACCATGGAAGTGGTGTCTCTTGTCGGGCTGCACCGCCCCAGGCTGCTCCCTCTCGCAGTTCCCTCCCGGCAGCCAAGGGCCAAGGCCACAGAAACAATGAAGAATAAACCAGAGCACGAAATAAAGGGGGGATTGTTCTCCTGCTGATGTAACTTCAGCCATTGTTAATTCCTCTGGTGGCCCAGGGCCCCTCGGTACAGTACATTTTGGCTATTCTTCCCCGGGTCTCTTATTAATCCTGACATCGTCCGGGAGTCCCTGGAGCTGAAAGGGAGGTTTTGAGTCCCATCTCCTCACCCAGACAATGGCTTTTCTGTTTTACACCCTTCCCGCTGCCGGCACGGGATCAAAAACCTGGCAAACTCCCCCCTCCCTGATCTCCCCGGGGTCTCCATCCCTGGGGAATTCCTGCCCTGACCGAAGGGGGATGGCAAAATCCCACCGATCCTCCCCAAAAAGGCAGGGTTTTATCCCCTATTTTTGTTACCGGCTGAACAAATGACAGCAAATAGTGCTGACTCAGCACCGTCTCCCCTATCTGTGTGGGGAGGGGTGGGAGAGCCTGGTGAAGATATCCTGGGATTTTTGGAGGGTGGGAAGGTCACGTTGGCTTACGGAGCGGGGAAAATCCCAACGGGTTCAGTCCCGTTCCTGAAACTGTCATTTCTGCAGCCGTGGAACTGGCAGCTCCTCAATTCCCATGTGTTTGAGCTCATTCGGGCTGATTCCTAATTCAGGAAAGGGTCTGCAGCCTCCCTGGGGCATGTATTTAGGATGGTGTCATGTAAAAAAAAAAAAGTCATAATTCATATTAGCAGTAATAACTCTACATTTCTCTATTTACCCCCAGCGCTGTGATCTTGCTGTTCCTTTTCATGCCCGAATTCCTTTCCTCTTGCTCCTCCACTTCTCGCATCCAAAGGTTTTCTGACACTCTGATGCTCCTGCCCCAAAAAAAAAGAGAGTTAAGAACAGACCTAGAGCCTGGTTATGAATTCCCAGCTCCTTGGACAAACCCCAGAGCCACGCTGATAAATCTAAAGAAACCGGTCTCTGCTGTTTATGAAACAATTTAATTCTCTCGCCTTCCTCCCCCGTGCAGTTTTGTTGCCAGGCTTGATTTTTGAGGCTGATTTCAGAGAATCATAGAATCATAGAATTGCCCAGGCCGGAAGGGACCTCCAAAGGCCATCTAGTCCCACCCCCCCGCAGTCAGCAGGGACACCCCCAACTAGACCAGGTTGCCCAGGGCCTCATCAGGCCTCACTAGGCCTCACCTTGAATATCTCCAGGGATGGGGCCTCAACCACCTCCCTGGGCAACCTGTCCCAGTGCTCCACCACCCTCCCAGTGAAGAACCCTCTCCTCATCTCCAGTCTAAATCTGTTCCCCTCCAGCTTGAAGCCATTGCCCCTCGTCCTGTCACTGCAGGCCTTTCTAAACAGGCTCTCCCCAGCCTTCCTGTAGCCCCCCCTCAGGTACTGGAAGGCTGCTATTAGGTCTCCCCGGAGCCTCCTCTTCTCCAGGCTGAACAACCCCAGCTCCCTCAGCCTGTCCTCGGAGCAGAGGTGCTCCATCCCCCTCATCATCCTCGTGGCCCTCCTCTGGACCCTCTCCATCAGGTCCATGTCCTTCTTCTATTGAGGGCTCCAG